GCAAGTCAAGAAACAACAACAACAAAAAAAAAACAACTTTGAAGATCGATCTACTCCAAGTTTTGAAGCAAGAGTGGGCGAAAATCCCACAATCTAAAATTGACGAGATCATTCTCACGATGTCCCAAGGGATCAACGAACTCCACGAAACGAAAGGAAGATCTACTAGATATTAATTGAATTCTAAATATATCAATTCATGTGAATATGACTGAAAAATTTCATTTTTTTCTGAAAAGGTGGTGTCTACTTGTGACCACGCTGTGTACATTTAGGTTTAAACTAATGTTAGTGAGAAATTAGTTGCAGAGTTATCTCGACTGAAATAATAATAAGATGATATTTTGGTGGGTTGGTCTCTTTCTGGTTTGGTATCTTACCTTGTTTTTTGGGTAGAGAAACAAATGAAAGTGAATGGAAATCACCTTTTAAAGTAAAACTCTCGGTCATTGTTGATTTTTTAGCGTGCGTATTTGTATTATGCTTATTAAATACATTGGCTATCCCTACATATAGAGTCTACCGATCCTATGATAAAAGTATCAGATCAGAAGATACTGGCCTAGATCATACCGCACTAATGACGAACAGTGTTGAAGATTTATAGTACTGGTGGATAAGACCTAAAAAGCAAATGAAGTTTTCGGACTACGGTTAAATATGAAGGAAAATTATAGTAGTGTCAAAGAAAAAAGGAACACAAAGAGCAGATTCATTATCTGGGACTCACAGAAGACTGAAGATATTAGAGAAAAATCAGAATAACTGAGACAGCAAGAGCATGTTTATCAGTATGCAAACATTATTAACATCCAAGAAACTTGCCAAAAAATCAGAATAAGAATTATCACGTTCTACTTGCGATCCACCCTTTTATTGAGGTAAAAAGACATGGAGACAGGTACTACATCTAAGAACGACTAAGTTTCCAAAATATGGTGCTTAAAAAGAATGATGCTAATAAGCTGTACTAAAAAACTAAGGAAGTATGTAGTGATGAAAAAGGTAGGAATGTGACGAGAGGTTACTGACGTCATCAAAAAAAAAAAAAGAAAGCCAAGGTATAATGAACACATCTTAAGACTAAAAGCTATATAGAAATGTATCATCCGTAGTAATATAGTTGACATGGGAGCGAAAAGCAAGCAGATGAACAGACAGTGTCATGTAATGGACTCGGAAGAACTGGAACAGTGCCATAGACCCCTAGCCTCTGTAAAAGGAATGAACTTTTGTCTTTCTTTTACAATTTAACCCATCTAATTGATTTGTAACACCAAGTTTTAGTTTGTTTATTACGGTTGTTGTTATGCGTGATAGCAATGAAGTCAGTAGTTACAAAACAATATGAAAATAAACGAAGATTTGAGTTGCCCAAATTTGGTTAAGACTAGAAACTGCGTGTCTCAAAATTCTAATTACAAAAGATTGGGATTCACAGGGCAATCAATTCTCAGTTTCACAGCAATACTGAATATATAAGGTTGTTGTTTCACGTATTCGAAGAACAAAAACGCTTCTAAAGAGGTGGGAAGACATTTACCTTTATTACATCTTTAAAAACAATTTAAACCTCAGTAAAACTAGCTCGGTTCTTAAAGTATGCTGATTGATTTAAGATTCTAAATTTATCCCACGACACAGCATGTATTTTCTTTGTTGTAGAAGGGATATCTATTCTTATGAAGCAAGTCCTTACATCCCAACTTACTTTGACAGCTTTAAGTTTTAAAATACATAATATAATTTTGGTAACAGCTCCACTTACGGGAACGATACTGTATTGATTGCATACAACGTCTTTTTTGTTGTTTCGAAACTGGTTCACCCTTAAAATATTTATTTCACAAGCATCTTACTTCATCTCTTTCGAAATAGTCTTTTTTTTTTTTCAATCTCACCACTGAGCCACCGGTGGTGAGGAGCCGCTCATTACGACTGTAAATTATAAATCATACTATAATAATGTAAACAGCCATATGCTGTGCCCACAACATAGATCGAACCTCGAATTTTAGCGTTATAAGCTTTCAAGCTAACTGCTGAGTCGCTGTACGTCACTTGCAAGAATAGCTAACGACAGGGTATTTTAGCTTGTTTGTTTGTAGTTAAGCACAAAGCTACACAATGGGCTATCCGTGCTCTGCCCACCACGGGTGTCGAAACCCGGTTTCTAGCGTTACAAGTCCGCAGACAACGATGTGCCACTGGCGGGGCCTTAGCTTGTTCAGTACTTTTTTAGTCGAACAAATTATGTTATTTTATCAATAAACGAAAGATTTGTGTTCATTAATGATTTATGATATTTGTTGTAAAGATACTGTAACTAAAGGCAAGTATTGCCCTCAAGAAGAAAGGTCCACCTTTCGAAAGCGCTCGGGTTATAGGTTTTTTTATTCATTAATGATTTTTTTTTACTTATAAAACTGAACTGTAGACACCTAGTAAATAATTACCTACATTGTTCAAAACATTTTATATCAAGGTAAATGAAGTTTAGAGAAATTTTACTCCCTACCCCAACTTACGATGATAATTAAAAAAAAAACAAATGAAATTTTGAAACAAACATTTTGTGAGCTTGTCTTTCGAAAAAAAATGTTATAAGCATTCTGAGAACTGATTAAATATTGAAATTTACCATTAAGTGTAAGTGTTCTAATAGACACAAACACGAAGTTAATTATGGTCAAATTTATCTATTCTTTATCTGCAAACATTTTTATAGCGTTATATATGTGCACGTGGGTACTTATTTTCTAAATATTGACTTTCATTTTGTTATATAAGTTGTTTTACAATTATATAATTCTATCAGAAACCATTATTAACAACATAACTGGTTGCTAATGCAATGGCAAAAAAGCAAAATAAACCGCGTGGTTTCTAGCATAACTTGTAATACTATGACCAGTCCAATGAATCTCGCATTAGGAAATTTCTGAGCACATCTGCAACTCCAAGTAATCAGTTTGTTTGAGACTGAATTTAGTCATTATACTTTGACACAAGCAAGATGTTCGTTTTTGCGATTAATTTTCCAAAATGCTGATCATAATCATAACTGATGCCTAAGTCAGGATATCAGTCCTTTAGCCTAGTTTAGGTCTAAATATACATCATAATCGTAATAATTTTTATCCTGACAAAAATTATCGTCTCGACCTCAAAAGATATAGAAAACACACTGAAAGAATCAAACTTTTGAGTATTTTTCAGAGTTCCTCAGCTAGTTCTTACACACACACACACATTCTTAAAACTGTTTTATCAACACTGTCATAGAAGTTTTCGAACAAATATCTTCTGCACGTACACTAGCAAAACCGAGCTTAACAACCATAAAGAAAATCAAATTATATAATATTAAACAATATCTGTTTACACATATTAACATTAAGTAAAACTAAAAGCTATTACATTTTTTCTTGAGTAATAAATACTACCTAAATTACGAAAAACTAACTCATTGTTTTTGCGTCTGTTACTTATGTTTGTATGCCTAAATTTAACAGAACTATCAGTTCACTTTATTACTGTTTCAGTAGATTGCCTTCCACTGGTGGCAGAACTTTACAGAAAAGGTTTCAGTAAAAGGCTAAGGTGACGATTATAATAACGTAAAATCCGTTTCTGAAATTAATCTGTATCAGTATGCATGTTAACTTTAAAATCCCAAATGAGATTATCCTGTACTGCAATAGCTTCTTTCTAGAATATAAATGCGTAAAAAATGTACGATGTCAAAAGAAAATACTTTAATATAGTGTACGTACTCTTTATCATCGTCCTATATCAGACCACAAGTCAGCAGTAAAATGTCAGTTTCCTTCTAGTTATCAAACACGTGAAAAGTGGAACACATTGAAAGAAGTTAGTACTGTAATATAGTCTACTCATGCCAACTGTAAATATATAATTAAGGATTATTTAGTCTGAGGCTGTATAAACTATCTATTGTCTTTGCTTCTGATAAAGAATTCAAAACCTCAACATAAACATTGATCAAAACTTTTATTAAAAAGCGTTAACTAAAAATCCAGAATTGTAAATATTTTGATTATTTTGAATCAAATAACCCTGGGTGTGTCACTGCTTAGCCTAAAAGTTGACTTTGATCAAACAATGCAACTCTATAAAAAAAAATATACTTTAAACACACACTTCTTCAATCACAACTTATCTGTCAGTATTGGATGACCAGGAACCCACTTTGAGACTAATAATGGTTGGAGACAGCTTGAATGGGTAATGAAGAAAAACGTTAATATAAATTTAACATAACAGCAAATGTACAACGTTGTACATTTGCTGTTATGTGAAACTTATGTTAAAGTTTTTCTTCATTACCCATTCAAGCCGTTTCCAACCATTATCTGTCAGTAGTTACAACACAGAAGTTACAAAATGTGTTTTAACTAGCACAAAGAATTTACCTTATTTTATAGATTTTACAATCAAATCTTTTGCTCAGAGTTTGATTACTACTAAAATACCTCAGGGTATATTTTTCTTTGATAGAATTTCCTTAAGAGTTTCTATTTAGCATTACTACTAAGACTTTTACTAATCTTATAAAAACTACTTGATTTTTTATAGAAATGATACACCAGTCAGATTAACATTTGTCTACTTCTTAGAAATTATCCAAGTATTAATTTTCCTCAGTATGATAATTGAAATAATTATTTAACTAATTTCTGATTTTTATTTTTCAGATTTAAAACAATATCTTAATACCAAAAAATCAACTTTGCAATTCCTAACTAGGCAATTTTTGTAAACATTTAATAATAATAAAAAAAAACAAATTAGCAAAACAGAAAAAAAGAATGAAGAAAGTGAAAAATACAACATTCCAAGATTACTTAATAGCATCTTTAAAAAAAATGTTCAATGACAAAAATTTCTTTAACTTGTACTCCTTTAAAATTTTATGAGAAAAAAATCATTGAGCACATCCTCTGTATCATAAATAAAAACACACAACCAAAATGCATGAAACCATCAGTTAACATTTACTTTTGTAAAACGTGAACTTTAAATGGCCCCCAATATAACTATTCTACACAGTAGCAGAACTGTCACAAAATCAAGTTTCATAGTATCCAACAAGTCCCACGGCAAAAAACAATGGATGTACAAATATGGAGGGAATTCAACTTTACAGGGATACTCCAATAAACTTTTTATGTAACTTCTCATTAAAGACAGTAAAATAAACTGTCCTTCCATTTCAGAACACTATTTTTAACATCTCTTCTTGCTTTTAGCTATGAGAGTAGAAGAAATGAAAACATTAACTATATATTTTCTGACACTGGCAAAAGCGATGTCTCTTTGTGGTTTACAATTTAAAATTTTCAGTAAACAGGTTTTGTTTAGTGTTTTCAAGCAAGATTACATTTAACAATCTAAAGCTCAATATAGTAATTTCAAAAGTGAAAATAATGTAAGTAATACAAACACATTAAGTTTTGTGTTGATAAATTAAATCTTTCTGTTCAATAATTCTATCTCAGTAATCTTTTAATGGTTTTAATGAAATACATCACTGGTCAAGTGGTCCATCATTTCTGTCTGTTATAAAGTTGTAACATTTGTGTTTCCTGTCAAGACATTCAAAGTTCTTTGATATAGTCTTCATAACTTTAGATCATTTTCTACTTCTCTTTTATAGTCTTTAAAGCTTAAGGTCATTAGCAATTTTAGAAGCTATATTTTTAAAACCAATGGATGTTCCTGAAATACGTTTAAATCTGACCCCATTCAGAGAAAGCCGAGGCAACTTGCATACTTCAATCTCCCACTGAACGAGAGAATTGGAAATGGGGTCACCATGTAAACAAAGTAAAAGGTACTTTTCTCGATGCTCATAGGCACAACAGTTCTTTTCTAAAACTTTGCATAATTCCTGAATTATTTCATTTGGATCACGTGAAGAAGTGGTCTTCATACTCCAAGTGAATCTCAAAGAACGTGGTTTTACTTGTTCTTCATTTATGGATCTAGAGAAAAATAAAAAGTTACTTTATTAACAAATTCATACAACAAGAAACATAACCATCAATTCAACAAATCAGCCTACTTTGTACATAAGTAAACAAATATGTGCATACATATTTAGTTGAAGCTTAAAATTTTAATGAAGCAATATGTACTTCAAAATACTTCCAGAGAGGCAAATATTTGTGCAACATAATGAAGATGAATCACTCAGCCTCCTTGTTCATATGACAATAACAGGCCATTAAATTATTGAAGTTACAGATGTATAGAACAATTACCAGTCACATTGATCCTTGCTAAAAACTACTTAAGAAAGAAATCTTTATTTTAACTTAAAAAACACTTTACACAAATTTTAATTTCTTCAAAATAAGAACAACATAAAAATAAAAAACAGTACTCACTTTTTACTAAACTTTGAGGAAATTTTGCTCAATATAGAAGATCTACCACCAGGTGAATAAGGGGAATCCTGAGTATGAACAGATACAGTCCCTGGGCCACTATGTGCACTAGTATAACGTCTTTCTCGTGTCTGTCCACTGTGAAAAGTGCTACGGTTGGCAGTACCTCGGGGAAATGGTCTACTTGTAGTGGGTACTGATGACTCAATTCGTGATGCAGTCTCTGCTGCACTGTAAATGTAATTGTTCTCAAACATATTATATAAGTAGAAATAGGAAATAAAATATACTGCTCAAAAATAAATTACACTGTTTAAAGGTACTAATGAAACTAAAATACCTTGACACAGATCTGAAGTAAATTTTAAACATTAAACTCTTAACACTTATAATGAAAGCCTCAATAATAAAAAAATGGTTGTAATTAATTTTCTTTTAAGTCCTTATTACTGTTTAAAGAATTCATTGTTAAGTACAAAGCTACACGATGGGCTAACTGTATTGTGCCACAATGGGCATCAAAACTCAGTTTTTTGCATTATAATAAGCCTTCAGACTTACTGTGAGGCATTTAAAAAATAAAATTTTGAAGATCTTTATTATACACAGCGTGGTCACAAGTAAATAGACACCACCTTTTCAGAAAAAATTAAAT